TCTCTCTCTCTCTCTCTCTCTCTCTCTCTCTCTCTCTCTCTCTCTCTCTCTCTCTCTCTCTCTCTCTCTCTCTCTCTCTCTCTCTCTCTAGGAATCAAGGGATAACTTTAATAAAAGAATAATATTGAAAAAATTGGATGATGAACTTTCCATACTAAGCTTTGTTTAAAAAAAAATGATTTTTAAAACATGAGAAGATATAAATAAGCATTTATAATATTTTTTCTGTTATATGTAAATGTACACATTTTAGAAGATTTTATCAACAAAAGAGTGAAAACCGTAATACCTCTGTTTTTTCACCCAGTGTAGTATTACAGGATTAAGTTTCATAATATCGATGTTTTCAAAAATAAAATCTTGCGTACCGAAGGTTACTCTGCCTTTTCAGTTTAGCTTTGCGCAAAGAAAGAAAACTTTTTTCTTTAACTTTTTCTTTAGAAAATATAATATAATCATCGTTAAATAATTGTCGTCAAATGATTAATTAATTTTTATTGAAACTGTATTACTCGAATTACGATTAATAATTTGTTAATGAAGCTAGAATAATTGGTTTGTATTATTTCGTATTATTATTTACACTCGTATTGTTTAGTAGAGAGAATTTTAAAACTCTCTCCTTGATGCTTTTTATCCATAACATTCAACGGACAATTTAGAAACATAGTATTATTTTAATTCCCCAGTCGCTACTGTCATATTCAAATTATCCTTTTGTTGTGTCCTGTAAAGACAGAGCGGAGAGGCGTACGCGACGTTTGCGATGGACGTGGCGAAGGAAATAAAGGACTAAAAGATAATCGGGATGATGGGGTCATTCGCGAATTGATCGATCATTCTGCGGTCTATGCGTGACGTGAAACTCGCTCGAAATGAAGCTATTGTTTCACGAGAACGAGAATAAAATCACCGCGTACAAATTCGACCGCCGACTGGCTGATCCTTTATGGCTCTTTTCAGTTTCCCGCGAAAGAATTCCTAATAAATGAAGCCTTTGAAATCCGTCCGTTTTAATTAAAGAATTCTATCTGTCTTAATCCTTCGGTAAATTGCTTTCAGAATCCAAAATAGAGATTTTTTTTTTAGTGACTTTTCAAATTATTCGCTCAAAGAGATGAAAATTGAGAAAGAATTGATAATATGGAAGTTTTACACTTTCTGAATTATTAAGAAATTAAGAAATTTTGATGTAAAAGAATTGAGTAACTAATTTGAATGAAAAAACAAAAATTAAAACTAAAATTCAATCTTAGAAAATTGATTGTGCTTAATGCAAGGCAGAAAATTTAAAGAATGAAAAATATGAGCTTGAGAAAATTAAGTATTGTGAACTTTCGACATTTTGATCTGTTCGAAGCTCGCATTTTTAGAATCATGAATTTTTAACCTGAAGCGATGACATTTGGTTATATGATCGTTTATGTATATTTATGTGCATTTATATACAATTTTATGGTAACGTTTATCATCTCAAATTTATTCGATATTATTTCAGATACGATGGAGCCTGAGAAGTTGCTAATAATGAATTTTGTCGGTGCCGACTTAATGGTACTTGATTTTCAATTTTCCATCACGGCAGCGGCCAGTTGGAAAAATCAGCTTTTCTCTCGCTTTGTTATGCATTGCTGGAAATGGAGAGCTTCGGGTTAACGGGGGTTCTGTGCGTTGCCTATCACTTTTATGCCACGCGATTTCGTGGCCCGGTTAATCCGAGGAAATATACAAGGTGTGCTAAATTTAGTATGTCACTTTTTATCCATGGACTTTTTTTTATTCACTTGGAAATCAATTTTGTGTCAACAAAAATATCAA